GCTGTGAAAGTACCTCACAGTACTAACTGAAAAGTTAAACTGATTGATACATCTTAATGGCCTGTGTAAGATGAAAAGCAACTAAAACATTAAGATGAAAGTATATATTAGTCAAAATTCATAAAGATTCTTGTACCAAGTTGAAAAGTTAAAATATTTTTAAACTGATAGATAATTGCCCACTTCATGTCACCTGTTAATGAACAGAAAACAGTTCAGTCAAAATATTATGAAAAAAATAACCATAATAAAGATAATTGACCTGTAGAATGCCAAAGAATTCTTTTAAAAAAATAACCTTGAATTTTTAACCATGCAAAAAAAGGTAAAAAATGACACTTGATGACTTTAATGCAAACTCTTGCATTTTGAATGAATATTTTGTGTAAGAAATAATCTAATTTATTTTGCTATTTTGTCAGACTCCCTATTTGGCAAGTTAGCTTTTCTCAAAACTGATACAAATTTTAAAAAAACAGTTTCTCTTAAAATTAAATAAATCTGTAAGCATGAAAACTAAAAAAAAACCCGCCCTCCCAAAAGAAAACAAAATGATGGTGAAAAAAAAAAAAAAATCCTGGTCATTTCAATCAGGCAAATCTATTACCAGAATTACCAGGTTCAGCTGATATATAAGAAAGCATAGCTGATTTTTACAATGACTTTACTTCCTGATTGAATAAGGTTTTCCATGGCTGTTGTATGCCCTCCAATATTGGTTGCAGGCAATGTATAAAATAGCCCTCAGGCTTGTACTAGTGAAGTTTATAAGGTGAAATGCAGTATGCGCATTACTGACTCCAGAGGCCTTTAGATTGAAGCTAAAGTAAACAAATGTGAAATCTAATCACATTATTTCAGTGATGTGTGATCTGAGAAGATCCTTTTCATTTTTTAAAATTATGAACAAGAAAGCTTTTTGGCTTCAGATACAGAAATTTAGATGCATGGTTGGACATGTAGTGTAATAATTATTGGCATGGGAAGTGAAATCAGTGAAGCAAATTAAAATTCTGACCAAATCTGTTTCATTTTCTTCATACTAATGAACTTGGAAAAACTCATGAATCCAACTTTTTTCAGTTATAAATTTAATAGCAGGACAGACTGGGTTCTTTAACCTTGAATACCTGCCAGTCTAGGAGAAGAAAAAACTGAATTCAAAGCCATCCTGAAGAGGGACAGGCTCTGTCAGGTTATATTGCCCGAGACATCTCCACTATTACACCTTATAACAGGGTATAAGACTTGTGATCCTGACAGAAACATTAATATGAACAACAGAAAATATTTAAGATTGGCATGTGCTAAAAAATACTCAAAATGATGTAATGGAATAACCTGTCACCCCCATGAGTGACTACACTATAGGTAGTAACTACCTATAAGTATCTATAAGTCAACAGACTATGGGAACTAGCTGGAATCTGTTGAGTATAACTCGGACTTACGTAAGAACTACCGACCTTCAAATAGTAGCACTCACTACTGGATTAGCTTGCAACAACCTTGTGCATAATGGTTACCTTTGTTCTTATTGTACTGGTTTTTTTTTACAATAAACCTTTACTTATTTTATCCACCTTGTTTTTGAAGTATATATTCCTATTAGTATGGAATATAACACAAAAAATACTGCCAGTTATTAGATCTAACCAAACATGTTATTCAGTTTAAAATTGGATAACAGCTTAGTCTGGTACAAGGCCTGGGAAGGCACCTAATGAAGATCAGATTTCTATAATAATAGACCACTGCTCAATGATTCTCCAAGGGAAAACTCCTCTGGTATTTACAGTTTAGCTTAGTACAAGGTCACCAAATGAGAATCAAAATCATTAAAATCACAATGGTCTAACTAGTTAACTGTACATAATCAGGCACATAGTCATTTGCTAAGTTTAGCTAAGTCTAGTACAAAAAACAATAGTGTAAAACAACCAGTGAGGATCAAATTCACTAGAGTAGTAATGATTTTCAACATTAACCAGCTTGTGATGGCTCCACACTAAGGAAACCTTAGTACTCTATATTTATTTCAGTATTATGAATTACACTCCTGAAAAGTTAAGAAAAGCATGCCTATATGCTCAGTGATTCAAAATTATTTCAAATGAATAAATCTTAAGTAAAATGATCCTTCCTCAGGCTCTGTAGACTGACACTACAAACAAAGAACTTTACCAAATAACAAAAACCACATCACTTGAACACTTCCAACAACATAATTATATAGCCAAGCTGTTAATTTTCCACACTACCAGTACAAGAAAGAGCAATAACAGTTAGTGGACTAGAGAAATCTAATTTCCTGAAAAACTTTTTTAAGAAAAAGAATTTATAAATTTCAACTGACATTAACAGTAAGTGTTGAATCAATGAATGCCAAATGTTTCCTGTATGGGAATGACTCGTTTTACCATTATCATACATGAAGAATTGAATTCCCAACATTTTGATTTGCAGAATTAAATTGTTATGCATATTCACAATGCTTACTGCATGTTAAACAAAATTCATCCTCATTTTATCATGTAGCTCTTGTGAGCCAGCCTTTCTTTACTGGAATCAATTATTTGGGAATTAAAATTAATCGAATAGCCTGCTTGTCTGCCTGCTTTGAATCTCTTTATATCTCATGGCTACAGTTGCATAAAGTTCTCTTGCTCCCATCAAAATAATACAACAAATGTAAAAATTACAGCCTGATAAAAAGCCTGTTTTTATAAATATAATTATTTCATTGCTATTAGAGATTTGTGTTCTGCTTCATTATCAACAATTCTTTGGCCAAAATGGTTCATGCAGAATGTGAGTTAAAGTTTCCTCAAAAGCTACTTTTTTTGTTTTCTGATTAGGGCAGTGTTTCTCAACTGGTGCACCCGGGTGCATTAATGTAACCTGAAAGGTAGCTAGGAGCTAGTGTTAAATAATAAAAGTTTTAATTTTTCCAAAAAATTAATGAAAATTTATTGTACTAAGCTACACACCTTAGTAAAACCAACTGTACATTTTACCCCCTTACCTGTTTTCACTTCTCCCCAAAATATGGTTTCGATTGGTCAATGTATGGCTTTTTTTGAGGGTGTGACAGACGGTCAGACTAACGAAAGTCACAGAAGATAGATAGACTCAGATTGTAGATAATTTTGTTAATATTTTGGTGTTCATTCACATCATTCTTTGCTTTGTTGCTTATCCTCATAAATATGCACAACATGATTTCCATTCCTGATATTTTAAAGATGATGTGACTAAACAATGAAATATTAATAAAACTGTTTCTAAATCTTGTTTGTTAATTACATTTTGATAACCTACAAGCAGTCTCTTTTGAATTACCTTTGTCCTTACATGTGTGGGTTATCAACCTGTAGAACACATATCCCTGGTGAATACCAAATTATATATGCGTGATTAATTAATGGCAGATGAAACAAAAGCCAAGACTTTGCTTTCTAAATCTCTATTGACTGCAGTCTTTTTAATCTTTTCTTACTTCAGTCATTATCTAAATTTATTTTTGATACATCATTAAGTGTATCCACATATTATTTTGCAACAACTTTATTTGCCTCTCTTTGTACCTGGCTTAATTGTTCATTTGTAGAAATCAAATTTTCACTTTTTATTTATATTATTAATCAGCCTGTTTTCTGATGATCTGTATGAAACCCCAAAGTTTTTTCCATTTTTTGTCATCAAACCTCATTTGATTTGGATTCAACTATCAACCAGTTGTCTTTGTGGAAATTAAACAAGAACTACAATCAAAGCACTCAATATAGAGATTTTAAATTTATACAACTCTAGCTTACTTAAGGAATTATTTTATCGTAATTTGAAGAGCTTTTTCTTTAAATACATAACCCATAATAGAAAATATAATAAAAGTTGATTTGTTAAACTAATCAAAACTTAGTCAACAAAGTTTGTTAAAATTAGAACTAGAGATTCTAACATTTAAACAACACAGAAGAAATAACTTTTAGCAAATACTAATTTAAAAAATGAATGATCCTCAAAATAAATTGACAAAATTTCTCTTGGCCAGAGATTTTCAAACTTTTTCCATTGGCTACATATTTAATTTTTTTTTTTTTTAAGTTTTATTAGTCATAAAAGCCATAATTCAAAATGTATATCAAATAATAGTCATAAAATAAGAAATAATTCAATGGAAAATTTGTCTAATAGTTAACAAAAGAAGCCAACACAAATTTCTGATAATAACAACAAAGTCGCAACTCAAATTTCATTCATTTGTTCTTTTTGTCATGCTTTCTCCATTCTTTTTTGCACTATGAAATTTTCCTATTGAATTTTCTGCTGAACGAAAATAAAATCTATTATCTATGAGTTTAAAAAAGTCATTAATATTCCAGGCTTTCTTCTAAAAATTGAGTTCTTTTTCTCTACTGTTGATGCTGTAATCATAATATTTCAGACGGTTTATTCTACAGCCTTCTTCAAGTGTACAATTTATAAGGAAAGAGAGGCCTTTTTTTATAAAACAAGATAGTGGTAAAAAATGATTGCCAATATAGATTTCATTGTGATATTGGTTTTCTTTGCTATAAATTAAGGATCACCTGAGTTACATTGGTGATAATAAATGGTGTTGGTCTTGTTTTGTAAAAAAGAGTTCTGACTTTTCTTTCAAGGTATAGATTTGAAGAATACTGGAAAATGATTTGGCTGACAATAGCAACAATTTTGATGACACAAAAGTATACAATTGTCCAAAGCTTGAAAGAATAAAATTCCTATGTAAAACTAGATGTTGTTAACTGACTTGTCACAATTGATAAACACTATTAGCTGTTAAAAGACAATTGCTGAACGAGATTGAGATTGAACAAATAACTACAAAGAAGTATGTGTAATATTTAAAAACAAAAAAAAACATATCCAATTATAATTTTAAAGATTGTTTTCAAATTTTCTTCCTTTCCATCTTCATTTCTTCATTTCACTATTTCTACTTTTTTCCTTCACAGGACACTGTCACTAATCCTACAGGAATTGATATCTACTGAGCGTGACTATGTGTGGGCCCTCCAGCTGATTGTTGACAACTACATACCGGAAATAAAAAAAGATGATGTCCCACAAGCCCTCAGGGGTAAACGAAATGTTATCTTCGGAAACATTGAAAAAATTTATGAATTCCACAGTCGACATTTTCTACAAGAATTAGAAAATTGCAAACAGCAGCCTTTCCAAATAGCTCAAACATTTCTTTCACATGTGAGTAATTCAATTGGTTTCTTTTATTTGTTTTTAATTTCTATTATTTCTCTATTTGATGGTATATATGACTCACTTGATCCTGAAAGAGAAAAAAAAAAAAAAGAACTAAAAATACTCGTCTTATACATAAAGCTCAGATGTCATAGGCTACCATTATTTCTACCAAGTCTAACTATAATATCCTATTCTTATTCACTCAAATATAATAATAATGCTTAAATTAAAAATGTAACTGAAAATGCATTATTTTTTTTCTTAGTATTTTCTGCTGAAATGTAGGAGGTCTTATATAACCTCATATCTAATTCTTTTGTCATTAACTTTTAGTATTTTTTTTTAGTTGATATAAAAGAAAGGTATAAAGATTTTGTTTTTAAATCTCTTTCACATAATTTATGTTTTCCTGTTACAGAAGGGACATAAAAAAAAGTTTGAAATTTAAAAAAAAACACTTAAAAAATACCCCCCACCATGTCTTATATGTGAAGTTGAGGTTTCTGGTGAACTAATGTTTATTCAAATACCATAGACTACTATTAATTGTACTAAGCCTCAGTCAGTAATGTTGTAATATTATTTATTACAACTATTACATTATTATTATTACAACAACTACTACTACTTCTACTTCATCTTCTTTAATTAAATATTTAGCATAAATTTAATTTTTTTGTCATATTCCCTGATGCAATGTAGAGGCTCTTATATGCTTCTTGATTTTTTTTTTTTAAGATTTGACAATTTAGTATTTTTTGTTGATATAAAAGAAAGGTATAAAGATTTATTTGTAAAATAAAATTTTTAAATTAATGAACACTGAAAATATTACTTCAAAACATTTACAGTGACACACATTTTAAAATGCTTATTTCCCTTATGCATCTTGTTCATATTTAAGTTTTTTTTTTGTTTATTGTTTGCTGTTAAGTTCAGAATTGAAATTCAAACAGTGTGCACCATGGAGTAGATTATCACCATGTTAATTGCTTATACAACAGAAATTTTCAAGTTTCCTTTGTTTTTTTTTATACTCTTCTTTATAATGTATACAATTGATAACTGAAAGCCTTAATCCTAGCTAAAGTGAATTCATTATATTTGTAGTATTATAACAAAATTCAAACACCAAACTTATACCAATCAACAAATTCTTTTCTTCTTAAAAAATAAAGAAAACAAAGTAAATACATATTAAAAAAAAAAAACAAAAAAAACAAATATGATGCTAAAAAATAATTTCTTCTGATTTATAGATTGATAGGAAAGTAGATAACTTTTATGTTCCCCAACATAAGAAAATACAAATATTGATTTTATGGCAATAAAAATTTCAATCCTACATCCATGAAAACTTCAAAAATTAATAATTCATGCTTTAACAATCTTTATCATTTTCTCTTCAAAATCATCAAACATCAGATGTAAAGACAGATTGGTTAAAAGAAATATTGATGTCATTATTACCGCAACACATGATAAAAAAACATTCTAATTCACACATATTAGTTCCCTCAACAACAGTTTACATATATGTGTGTGTAATTTCTAAGGAATTAATGGATTTTATTTTTAATCTGGTATTATTTCTCATTACTTTAAATGTTATATTTGAGGAGATACAAATATATATATATATATATATATATACACGCACACAATAACTGGGACTGTACAAGTTAATATTTTAAGCTTAAAAAATATATCAAAATTTACAGGAATATTAATTATTTTACATAGGTATAAATTACAGAACTTTACCACAAGGTCTTTTGTCCATCGTTCTAGGAATTCTCCATTGGATGGAAACAGCCCTCCTAAATCTTGTTGATTTCTGACTTAAATATGCAAACATAAGTTTAACATAGAGGCTATAAGAATGTAATAACAACATAATAGAAATAAATGAACATAGTAATGATGTGTACATCATCAGCACAATTCCAGGATATCACAATAGACTGAAATTAACAATAGTTTTCCATTCCAACTTAAGACCATAACAAAACATCAACCAATAGTAGAAAACATTTATTCTCACTCTTAATGAATTACTTTTATGGTATAGTGTTCATTTCATTATATTGAATTTGCATCATCATAAATTCTGTGTTAAATAAGTTTACCAAATGAAAATTATTGTACATAATGAGTTTTAACTAGTCTTTGTAGTTTTATTCTCAATCTGGTAAGTAAGGATAGATTTATACAAATTTTAACTAGATTTTATTCCCTGTAAAAAGTGATTTCTACACCAGCTTCAGTTATAGGCCAGAATTTATGGTATGTAACAAATCAGAAAAGAAATTTTTTTTTTTTTTTTTTAGTCTACTGTTGGTGCAACATCTGAAAGTGTAATGAGGCTGAAACTGATTGATTTATAAACCAAAAATTGAGTTTATGACAGAAAAAAGGCAAAATGATATTCAATGATTTAGCAAAACAACATATCAAATAGAACATGGGGTGAACAGAGGGAGATAGAATTGGGTGGCGGCAAGTTTTTTAGGTTTGAGAGGTTCAGCTTTAGTCTGAAGAGTTGTGCACACAATATCCCCTGAGAGACTGTTGCATCAATATGCAAAGTCAGAAATCTTGATATACTACAGCAAGCTACTCTTACATACAAAGAAGTTCTCTCTCTTTCTCATATATACATATATGTTGGTAGAGTATTCAAAAAGTATATATATGCATATGTGTTTGTAGGGGGGCATCCAAAAAGTGAGTGATGATATATATATATATATATATATATATATATATATATATATATTAAAAATGCACACACACACATATATATATATATTGTATATATATATATATAGAGAGAGAGAGAGTTGGATTGATGCAGTTTGTGTTTCAAAACATATATAATATATATAAACAATATATATAAAAAAAAGTGTATATATATATATATATATATATATATATATATACACATTTCACACACACACATATATATATAATATATTGCACATATAGTGTTGATATTAATAAAACAGTGCTTGATGTTAGTCATGCTAGCAGTGTATGTATATTTATCATTCATATATATATATATATATATATATATATATATATATATATACACTAGCAGCATGGCCCAACATTGCCTGTGCTTGATTCAAAAATCGTACGACTCATGCAACAATCGCTATCACTTGACTTAAAATATTTTTGCCCTTCCTTGCCTTTAAAGGAGTGCCCTTTGCCATGCTGATGTTGCTACATGCCTTATTTCTTGCCTATCTCACACTGTGAATTTTTTCTAAGCTCTATACTAAACATTAAATTTGTTACGAAAAAAGAACTAAACAAAATGAACACAAAACGATCAGCTTTAAAAAAGGACTCATAACTGGAAAAACCGAATGAAAAAAAGAATGTTAACAACAAATACTTTTTCACACCCAACCCAGTTTTGCGGAATCAGAATTAACGTTGAGTTTAAGCAAGCGAATGAGCCAATTGGAGTAAAGTGCCATGCAGATTTAAATTTTTCCCACTTGTGACGAATGCAGCTATCGATTTCTTTTGCATGCTAGCATGCTAGTTAATATTCGTGTCAGTCAGCTATTGGCTCTCACCCTGGCCAATAGAATCTTCCTGCCTATTCATGGCAGCCAGCTATCGGCTCTCACTCTGGCCAGTAGAAAATGGCTACAAACTACATGAAAACTGCTGTAGAAGCATAAAAGAATCAATTATTTTCAGTATCGATGGGAGTTGGGAAATGCAAAGTTGGTCTTGGCCTTCCCGCTAACTTGGAGCATGTGCATGTAAATTTTGGTGCAAATCTGTTGAAAATTGCGGCCGTGCATTCGTTGCACACACACTCACACACACACATCCTGCCTTTTATAGATAGAGATATTTGGAGGCTGATATTAATTCATATAAAATTTACTCAGTGAAGTACATTGATTAAATAATCTATTTAAATTTTTATCAAAAATCTTCATTTTAACCAAAGTCTGTTACCCATTTTTAAGATTCATTTTTATTTCAAAAAGAAAGCATTGACAACTATGGGTCAAAAATTTATCAACACATTTTTGGGACATATACACACATGCACTTTCTCTCATATATATAATAAAATATTAATTAAATTATAAGAAAAAATAATGAAGTGCTTCAAGTATAAAAGATCGAGCTAAGATTGTATCAAATTAATAGTTTGGGAACTTATCCTCTAGCATGTTTTCACCTATGGATCTTCAGGCTCATAAGTGCCAGCATGTTAAAAAATGCATATTTTTAATATCCTGGTACTAACAAGCCTGAGGAGCCATAGGTGAAAACATGCTAGAGGATAAATTCCCAAACTATTCATTTTATATGATCTACAAGCTTGAAACATGTTTCTGTTATCTATAAAGGGGATTAAAATTAGAGAAACAGCTGGTGGCAAAATTCTGAAAATAAACAAGGAAATGTGGAAAGATGAAGAATGATGCTTATAGGAATGAAAATGAAGGTATTGGGTGGCATAATGGTTATGGTCTTAGAAAATGGAATCTGTAAATCAAGTTATGTTCACTTCATGCCAGTGCCTTTTGGGGAAAACAGGAATCTACTTTTCCCTGTGTTTCTGTCTCTATGCCAGTTATTTTAACAAACATCTTGTCACTCTAACTAAAACACATGTACCCACTAAATATAGCATTTAACAAGAAATGTTAATAAAAAATCCATTAATAGCTTTATATATATATATATATATTTGTGTGTGTGTTAGGAGAAGAAGTATGACAAAGTGGAAAAGATTTCATGTGATGCATTTCATCTTTTAGGACTCCATTGAATTAAATTTATTTTTATGTTAATGCAACTACACATGTGCACAAAGGAAATGGGGATGCTGTAAATTTAAAAAAATTTTTTTTTTTTTTTGAAAGACATGTTTTGTGCATATAATCTAGATGATTACATTTATATTCTTTTTGTTTATGTTGTCATCACTTTTGTTATTAAAATTGTTCTTGATATGTATATATCATTTTCTCATATATATATATATATATATATATATATATATATATTAGTTTATGAAAAACTAGGTAATCCGTATGGGTAAACCTAAGGAGGATAAAATCCAGAGAGCTCAATGTAAATCCAGAGCAAATAATTTAAATAAAAAGACCACTTTTAAGGTTCCATGTATATGGAACCTTAAAGTGGTCTGTTTTTATTTAAATTATTTAAAATATATATATATATATATATATATATATATATAGGATTAATGTGAGTAAATGTTTGTCACTTAGCTGAATGATGTTACCTTCAGCATCCCACCTCTAGAGTTTTGTAGGCAGACATGTTCATTTACTCTTCATGGGAGTATCAGCAATTTATTGATTATATTTTTTCCATTTTTTTTCCCTTTTTATATATACATTTAACATTGGTGTAGGTTTTTTTCTGTATTTTTGTGTTCATTTGTGTGTTTGTTTGCATACAGCCATGTGTCTGTCTCTGCAGATGTCTATTTGCTGACATGTGCCTGTCTGCAGGGATGTGCGTATGTATAGTGTGTCATGATCATTTATCCTTTTCTTCGTTTTTTTTTTCTTTCTTTCTCACTTTACACTCACACATTTCGCCTTCTCACTTTTTTTTTCCCTTTTACATATATATAATTATGAAGTGCTACCCAGAATTTCAGGAAATTTAACCCTGAAAAAATTATTCTTAATTTCTTGAACTCTTAGGTAGGATCTTGTATTTAACAACAGCTTATGCAACCTGTGATTTCATAGGTTTTATTAAATTCATCAAAAGTAACATTATTATGACAAGAAAAAAAAAACAATGCAACAAGTTACCTAAATATTATTATATCATCAGGCTTTTCTTATTCCCTAGACTGATTGTTAACCAAGGCTACAGAGCTCAGTCTACTCTGCTATTTTACTCATAGCTGGAGGAAGAAATATATTTAGACCTTTCCCAAGAGCATTTATGTGAAATAAACAATCAGAATTTGTACTTTGCTTATTTCATTTTCAATGCTGCCAACCATTAAGTCACCTTCACCTCTATGTGTGTGTGCATGCACACACACTATAAATTCAATAAAAAGTATTGACAAACAGTTTTTACAGTGCATTGAATATCAATAAATTGATAGAGCAATGATAATAAATTAAAATATACTAGAAATGTATTAAAAGAAATTTTCCTTTTTCAATTTTTTATTCAGAATCTTATTAGGCATGAAATGGAAAAAATCTGAATGACTCATTTGATCCTTGAAAGTCAAAATTCCCATCAAACAAAGAATACATAAGGAAATAGTAAGCAGTAATTTCTGCTATTGTACATTTCTCACTATTAGAAAAAGAGATATTTTTTCCTCTAACAAAAAGAAGAATTAGCTAAAAGAGAAAGTAGGGCAAAAGGTGCAGTAGACAAGAGTCTCATTAGGAGAAACATATCAAGTAATCAGCATAGAAATCATCAAGAAGAAATCTTGATTTGAGATTACATATGGTCAAATTTTCAGCTTTAATTTTATCTGTGCATGTATGAAAAGATTTAATCACTTCAGATTCTCAGAAAATAAATACAAAAAAAGATAATTTTTCTTAATAAAATTCCAGCATAGACATTTTGATTTTAGAATTATTTAAAATGTCCCACAGTCCTCTACCTGGTAATCACTAACATGTATCCTTTCTATAGATTTTTTTAATTTTTTGCTTTTATAATAATAAAAACTATATTTTTTTGAGGGGTGTATTTTTTATATCTTTTAAAAGATTGATTTTTAATATTGTCTAATAGTGTTAAAACTGTTTCTGATCATACGTATTACTTATTTGAAAGTTATTAATCCTCTTTGTAATCAACTTCTCATTATTAACAATAATGTTTTTGTTTCCCCAGGAAGAACAATTTTACTTATATGCTCTCTACAACAAAAACAAACCCAAATCAGACCAACTCATGCAGGAACATGGAACTGCATATTTCCGGGTAAGTATGGAAAATGTATTTATTTACATACAAAATCCATGATACTTAAATGTTTTATCCAAACTAAGCCTGCTGCAATTATCCATAAAATATGTCTAATGATTAGTTACAAATGGCCTTAGTACCCACAGATCCTTTCATAGCTTTCCGTGCATATTTTCATTTTCTTATTTGAAGGATTTATTTTAGAAAAAAAATGTAATATACAAAAAACAATATATATTATAAAATATTTATATATATATATATATATATATACACACACACACATTATACAACTGATAGATTTTATATATATATATATATTTCCAGGTAAAATGAGAACAAATGGAGTATAATTCCACTGTACGTAACATTTAATTTAAAAGAGGGCTCAATACAAAGTAGAGCTAATTATTATTTATTTTAGGATATTAATATCCTAAAAATAAATTATATATATACATATCTATCTATATGTCTATTTTGGCAGCATGTTTTCATTAAGACATGTCTCATTAAATAATTTAGACAAGTTTTGTCTACTTATTTTTAACATGATCCTCTCATATTCACAGACAAGCTTCTTAGTATCATTATTAAAAGGAAGAAAGTAAGTTACCATATTGATGCATACTCATTTATTCCAAGTAATTTCAACATTAGCAAAATGTCATCTTCAGGGTTTTGTTTTATCTAAGACAAATTTGTTATGCTTATCTAAAAATTTAATTAAATTTTTTGTTTGTGAAGTGAAAAATGTTAAAGTTATATACTGTACAATTTTTATGGTGTAAGCAGTAAAGTCAAGGGAGGTAACTAAGTTATTAAGATGTCTATTATTTAAAAAGCTATTTAAAGCTATTAGTTAAAACCTAGATATTTTAAAACTATCTACTGTAAACATTTTAAAACATTTGTACAGTATTCATTAATTTTATTAAGGGTTTCAATTTTTTAATATAGCTAGATTCAAAAATGTTTAGTTTGTTTATTATTTTCATGAAAAAGTATAGATGCATTTTCAACAAGAATTTTTCTGAATTATGACTGTGAACTGGATGCTGTTGTAAATATATATAAGATATAATAAAATATACAACATAGTCACAACATGGTTACAAAATGCCTTACTACACTAGGATCTATTAATAATAAAATGAAAAATATGTATATATCATGTATAACTTCTAAGATGGTCGGAATACATTTGTTATGACCAGTATTTAGCCACTAACAATATGATGGTTGTTCTACTATTAAAAATTTGTAAAACATTAGATTAATTAAGTTGGGAATATGGTTGAGCTTTCCAAAAACCTATTTTGCTTCCATTCTTAATACACTTGCTTGAGGTTTGTTTTTTTGTGTGTTTTTTTTGTGTTTTTTTTTATTTTTTATCACTACTTTAGGCTATAATATCTAAATTGTTGGTTAGTAGTTTATGTGATGGTAGTGAGTTCAATCCCTAAAGTCAAGTGGTTGAATCTAGGGGAATGATCACAAGCAGCATCACAAGGATTAATTATCAAAAGGGGAAAAAAAATTAACTAATATAAGACATCTCACATGGACAGCAGAATGCAAAGTCTGTTCATGTAGATTGAATAAAGAGTTCAGGTCATCATTCAAAGAATATTTCCAAATATACCAAGCAACTGGTAAAGGCCAGAAGATCCAACGGTTGTAATAACCAAAATGAAGACAACTGTTTGAATAAATCAGAGTATAATAATTGTATGAAATTTCTCCACTGATTCTTACTCTATCAACACAGCAGCAAATTCCAGCAAAAAAAAGTATTACAGAATACATCATGGCATTTCCTTATGTCCAACTTTTTTGTTGATATATCAGTTTCTTTTAATCATCTGCTCTGCAACAAAAATAACAACAAATGTTCAAAAAGACAAACTGCAAGTGGTCTACTTATTATTACTCTAGACTGTAACACTATTTTCTCTGAGGAAGCACTAGATTAAACGAATTATCACTCCTAAAGGATATTTGATGACACATATGAGATAAATAGATATAAATGTATCTTTAGGTGTATGTTTTTTTACCCTCCTGCAGATAGGTAAAAAGGTTTCAAGTACATAACAGAATTTTCTTAGCTATCTGAACTCCTTGCCTCCAGTAGACAGATTTGTATAAAGCAGACACTCCTTGGACTATTTATTACTCAATCCTGATGAAGCTATAAATAAGTTCAGAATTGGAAACGTTGAATTATTCTAATACTGTCCTAGCATGCAAAACCCTTCTAGATTTTATAGACAAAGTTCTTTCTGTGTGTTTTGCTTCAATTTTACATTAAAACCAAAAGTAATTAAAATAGTTACAAAATTCCTATTAAGTTAAGAAGCAGGAGATTATCATTTGAAAGAGATGATAATTATGAATTCTGATATTTTCTAGAAAGACATCTATTTAAAGGAACGAGAATCAGCATATGTATAAATTAAAAGATTCTCTTCTTCATTCCTTGGGAAGGACACTTATCAGGACAAGTCAAAGAATGAGAATGGCATAATTCCATAAAATAATTAAAGGATTCTGTTTATCATACTCAAAAAAAAAAATCAATGTGAGTGACACCTGAGAGAGACAAGAGATTTAATGGTTGAAATGTTATAAAAACAATAATAATAAGGAAAATAACATCAAATAATCAATGCATAATAGTAACGGCAGCTTGACTTTGACATTTAAATAAAAAAATATTTTCTATTTTCAACAAACTAGCTCGTTTGTAGTGTCAAAAAATGACTTCAGTAATTTTGGAATTGTATTTGTTATATTTTCAAGCAGAGCAATCAAGGATTTTTATATTTACTATTAACTCTAGTGTTGCATGTAAAACAAGAACTTTGCTTTGTAAATCATTAATAATAATGTACCCAAAGATAACTGACATGAAACAAAAGAAATAAAAGGTACTGTATTAGCTTGATCTCTCTACTTATGACTGTTCTATGTTCTAAGATGAGTTCCCACCCACTGTCAAAGTATATATTACTGATATTTAATAAACTTAGTCTGACACAAGGGCATAAATATGAGGCTGTTATTTTTCTATTGTAGCAAGGTTTTGTTAAACTGACTTGATGAAATACACAGATCAATACTTCTGTAAACAATTGCTTCTTTGTTTTCTTTTCTAGAGGAAGCAGTTCGAGCTGAATGACAAAATGAATCTGTCCAGTTACCTTCTGCGGCCTGTGCAGCGAATGGGCAAGTATGCCCTCCTTTTGAAGCAGATGTTGAAGGAATGTCCAGAATCAGACAACGAATTTGCAGACTTAAAGGTAAAATCTCCTTTACTTGAATTTTTTGTTTAATGCTCACAGAAAAATAATTTGAATAAAAGATACATTTCTTGACATGTACAACTCTACATCTCTTCCCCCCCCCAACCAAAAAAAAAGATGACTAAAATCACATCCCGTGGGTCATATATGTGAAGTTGAGGTATTTGAGATGCAAATGTTTATTCACATGCCATAGACCATCAGTTTATAAATTTGCAAGTACTTAGGTTTTGAATAAATGTTCATATATTTAGAATAGATATACTTTGGTCTTGTATTATCAAAATACTTATAAGTTTGACTAACTGTATCATGTGGCTAAGTTTGCAGACAGGCATGCTTGCATAGAGTTAAATGTTTAGTTTTTGTTTATGAAGAATGCATATTTTATTGAAGAATTACAATGTTAAATTCATTTTCATCTGTGACACATAATTTTACAAGATATCTTAAATAAACTATTTGCTATTCTGATTAACATGCTCATTTTACTTATCAATACTCAATGTTTCAGTAGTTGTACTCTGGCCTTCTTCAGCTCTCTTTGTACTCAGTAATTTCAAGCCAAACCCTTTATTCAATCCATTCTGCATTTTAGGAGAGATAACTCATATCAGTTAATACTTGCCAGTCTCATTCACTTTTGTGTCACTTGTCAGTTTCCTCCATTGAAACAGACATTTCAGCACTGACAGGCACTTATAGCCAAATCATGTGAAAACACTGGTCCCTGTACGATCATTGAAAATGGATGAGCATTTAGGAATACCAGGTGCTGTAAGCCTGGATGTGCAGGTGGTGTAATGGATAATGACTTGAAATTATTAATTGGAGAGCAAAGTTCCAATTCCCATTGGGTTCATTATATTCACTTACATGCAAATACACTTGGAAAAGGTATGAATCCACATCTTTTCTACCTAGCTATGGGTGAATTAGTAGGAATTATGTCATTGAACCATTGTTGTCTCCAAAATAAAAATAAAAAATCTTACAATCTAAAAATATTTTCTGACTTTGAATGATGTGCAAAGGGTTGATAAGTTGTAGAAAAAAAAATCAGTTTAATCGACTAGGCCAGATGTTTCTTAAACAATTTTGTGTTTAGATATACAAGGAGTATAGCTGAGTGAATTAAAGCATTGGTTAAAATCTCTCCAGTTCCTGGGCCTGGTAGTGCTGAAAAGTTACTTGCTCTGAAATGGTAAAGCAACACACAGGTGAATATGACTGGTGCATACTGAAAATACAAAATAATAATCCCTGAACATGGAAAGTGGAAAAAGAACACTCTACCATTGTGAATTGAATAAAAAGTTCAACTTAAAATTCCCAGAAGATTACTGAGTACAACAGCTGAGCATAACAACCAAGATGAACATGTTGGTGTGAATAGAAAATCATATAACAATGACAATTCCTCATCTCAAAAATCCTAACAAAAATGATGGTTATTCTGAAGTAAACATTTTAAGACAGTAATGCTGTCTCGAGCATACTCCTCTGGACTGTCAGAAATAGATTCCAGACTTTGATCTTTACCAAAGGACTAAAATTTACTGGACTATAGCAAAAATGCATAATAAAAGGCACTTTTAGTTTTTTGCAACATGTCTTTGCAGTAAGATTGTGCCTAATCTGCTTGCATTAAAAGCCATTCTAAATTCAGTCTCTGCTAATGCAGCCTTGTGCTATGGTTAGGCTTATCCAAAGAATCTTATATATTCTGCCTTTACATCTAAAAAAACTTTATTATTGGTTATAAGCAGTGATTTCAATATAGTTATGATCAATAGATGTTAAAGATTTATACTGTATTGAAAATATTTGCTTTTATGCTTAATCATTATCTTTGTAGAATGCTGAAGAAATGGTTAAGTTCCACTTACGCCATGGCAATGATCTTCTTGCAATGGATTCCTTAAAGGATTGCGATGTATGTATTTTTTTTTTGTTATTTTATGTTATACAAAATTGAAATTGTAGATTAGCATAATTTTTCATATTATTGTTTATGTGAAAAATGGGAGTTCAGTAGTGCAAGTTTAAGTAACATTGATTTTTACTAAGTTTATTATTATCATGATCATCATCATATAGTATTATGTGATTATTATCATGATCATCATCATATAGTATTATGTGATTATTATCAGTTTACCCATCAAAAATTAGTGATTTGGGTAATTTTGAAATTGTATTGTACTTGTAAAATATCAAAAACGCAATGTTACACTTCATTTTCTTATTCATGATCAATACATCCTGAATATTAAACTGAAATAATTTAAATTGACCCATTAATGCTCACCATCCTATTTTGGGGTATGGTTGGCATTAATTATATTTATTTTTATTCAATTAAGCTAGCTCAAAAATTGACAAGTCTATCACACTAACCATCACAGTCTCACATCAAAGTCAGAAGGTCATTAGGGTGGTATCATGTGTCATAATGTTGTTAGTCAATATAGGTGGTTGCTGGGCGACTAACCTATCTTGCACCATGGCTAGATGTCCAAAGCAGTAGATAACACACAAATTCTTGTTTTGCTTGCTAGCAGTGTCCTGCAAAGTGCATCCTGTATTCATGTAAGATTATAAAAATATCAAGAATGGGGCCATAGATCTGTGATTTAGTTGGATGTTGTCTCTAAGAGATGTTAAGTATAGCTCTTAGCATCTTGAGCGTAGGTTTGATCAAGTTTAGACACAAAGGTTTTAGTTGATGTTCGAGCTGTGGCACTGTACATTAAAAACCAACTCTACAGTAGCATGAAAGAACCTCCATTTGAGGTTGTCTGGTAGATCAGATTTCCAGATTGCATCCATTTTATTCAAAGCAGTCCGGGCTTTGGCTATGTGAATTTTCACATCCTTTTCAGTAGAATTTATTTTGCTTCCTAGGTATGTAAAAGATTTGACAGATTCACCTTGAGCCTTCCTTTGTTGAAGCTTATGAATTCAGTTTTGGAGGCATTATTAATGGATTATAATTCATACTAGATTTTTATGAACCTATACTACCAGATTATTAAGAAGATACTTAAATGAAGAGTTTCTGGAAAGGAATGAAAAACTTTGATTATAAATGAGACTCCTTTTTCATTTCTAAAAGTGTAAAAATTAAAATAAATAAGGGCCCATTCATGAAAATATTCAAATAATTTCCTTTATAAAAAAAAAACAAAAAACCTCATCCTTTCCTGTTAAATCTGAATGGTTTTATATTTAGTTTTTGTAATGGTTTTAAGATTCTAAATCCACTAACATATGCCTAATTTAATTTAATCTATGGTTAAAAGTGGTTTCAAGTGAATGAAGCCTGTAGGTCTTAGTGAGGACCACACTTCTTTGAACCTTGTAGGCTGGTACTACAGAATTACAAAGAACTGTACCAAATAACAGAAACCACATCACTTGAAGATTTTCAACAGAAGCAACAACTAAAATGGATATCACATGTAACTCAAAAAGAAAATAATGATATAACAGTTAATGAACTTGAGAAACCTATTTTTCTGAAAAAGTTTTTAATAGAAAGATCTTATCAATTTCCACTGAAAGTACCACTGGCTCCATGGTCAATGAATACTGAATCTTTCTTTATAAGGAAACAGCTAATATTGCCATCACCAATTTATTCCTGAGAAAATTTCAAATGCTCCTTTTTTTCTTTTTTTTTTAATTATCAATAAATGAACTTCATTTGACAAGGGAGATAACTCATGTTTTTCTCTTAGACGAAATAGAAAATCAACTTAAAAAGAATTTTTTTTTTCTGACTGAATTCTTTTAAGAATTTTTTCACAAATTCAAAATATATTTTTCTGATGCAGGTAAATCTTCAAGAACAAGGTCGTCTTTTACGGCAAGATGAATTCATGGTTACACAAGGAAGGAAGAAGTTCATGAGACATATATTTCTTTTTGAGGAACTTATCTTATTCAGCAAAACAAAAAGAAACAGACAAGGAGGACCAGAGTCTTATGTTTACAAGTATAGTTTCAAGGTAAGAAATATTGTAGTGATTTATAATGAAAGACTGGAAAATATCTTTAACATTTGTGGGCTGCAAGAACATTTTATGGCTGTTCATTAAATTGATTTCATTTTATTCATCTAAATAAATGCAATGAAGTTCTGTTACCAATAAATATTAACACAAGACTTGAATCACTCATGTTTAACATTACATTTTATTCAATCCAATATTCCATCAATTACTCTCGAACAGTGTGTATGTAAATGGTACCAGAACCAACATCCAGACATGGATCTTACATTCTTGCCTGCAATATCCAACAGAGAGAGACTGCCCTCTCACCACTGGGGTGGGTGTTTATATATTTGTCATGTGACTTGTTCTCAAATTTGCAAGCCAGTTGCAGCTGTGAACTCACATGATTCTGCACTTGGTGGTTTTCTCAGGTCAAATCTATCCCTGGTCTCCTTGATAGTCTGGTGTGATATTGAGTGCAAATTCTATTCTGGTATCATCTGGGATGAGACCTGTCTTAATTTTTTAGATAAAGGGTTATCATAATTATTAATTTTCAATGAGTTTTTCTTTCATCTTATTTTTTTATGTGTTTGTTCCAAACAGTAATAGAGATAACACTCTTAAGTTTGAATTTCTTAGATGAAGCATTGTTATTAATTTTCATGTTATTTATTTTATTCTTTATCGCAACATTCAGCTCTTTTTAAATTCTCTGTTCATTAAGCAAACAACATGAATTAGAAATAAAGTAACAACCTTCAGTGTGATTTCAACTCAGCTTTACTGATTTGGCAATGTGGACCCATCAGCAGTTGAAATTGAATAATATAATAACATTCTTACCACATTTACTACAGACCATATTTTTTGTAGCTCGGGGCATCTCAACATGGTGTAATGTTTAGTAAGCTTGTCTCACTAAAACAGTTACAACTATGTCGTGAGTTCAATCCTCACTGAGTGCCCATACTTTTGAACTTGTGCCACATCAGAAAATTACCATATTGTTTATAGCCTATATTAGTTGATGTCACTAACAAAAGTTTTCAAATTTTATAAATGAAGCATCATCATTACTTTTTACTAGTTTATTTTTCAACTTAATTGCTGCACCTTTTTTTTTTTACCATAACACTGTGATTCGCCTTCTAAAAGTGTTGAAAAAAAAAAATTCAAATATTTGCCATTTGTTAAAGATTATAAAAACTACAAAGGAAAAATATTCACTAAAACTCCTCTTTTTTTTTTCTTTTTCTTCAGACGTCAGATATTGGTCTGACAGAGAACTTTAGGGATAAAAGTAATAAGTTTGAGATCTGGTTCCGGCGCCGCTCACTAGGGGAAAATTATATTCTCCATGCTCAATGCAGTGAAATGAAAAATAGCTGGGTTGGTGAGATCTCACGGTTACTTTGGAAGCAGGCTATCAAGAATCGAGGTAAGGAACATTCTATTTGATTGCCTTTAAGGATCACAAGAAAATGTTTCAGTAATAAAAACATGCCATAGCAACTCTCATAATTTAAATTAAAGCATTTCTTAAAAATGAATCTAATATTTGTATAAAAAATATCCCTCTTCTGTTAGTAACACTTGCATTAACTTCTAATCATTTACTGTTTTGGCTTTTTAGCTGAAACATCCTGAAGGGATATGGCACTTAAAAAGGATTTCCATCTTTATCACTTTCATTAAAACATTTTAGCTGATACAAAAAAAAAAAAAAATTGCAAGATTTTCACCAGTACTCATGTTGCTTAACTTTTGCACAAGAATTAATACTCAAGTTGCATAAATGGCTACTTAAATTTTATGCTTGGGTAAATTGAAAAGAAAGACATTTCAATATAACTCAACAAATAGAATTTGTAGAATTCTTGGATACGGTATAAAATAATGTTTTTAGTATCTTTTTGCTTAATTTTACATTTTTTTTTTCATTTGCTGATGCTATAATCAACTAAGTATTGTAGTGGTTTAAGATTTAGTCAAATTTAAGTACAATTGCTTATTAAAGAATATCATATATGTTCTTTAGCCAACTTTGGATTCAGCAGAACATTGATTCCTATATAATGCTAAAATTTTGACTGTTAAGGATTTGCATATTAGGGATCAATAAAATCTCATGATTAAAAATAGATATAGGCAATCCTTGAGAGCCATGAGAGCTTAAAACCTTAAAAGATGGCTTTTAAAAAAAATGTTGGTTCATTATATATACAGGGTGCAATGGATAAATAAATTGTTCTCTAAATTACACAAAAATAAAAATAACACTAACATCTCATTTTAACAGACATATTTACCAAAATTACACAAAAATACCTTGAAATACTAAAGAGTGAATGGCAATTTTTATTCAATAAAATTACCACTGGAGTCAACCAGGGCCTCCAGATGACTTTGGAATCTCCTGCAACTCTTCTGGACAGTCTCCTTGTTTAAGTTGGTGAATGTAGTCCTTGCCTTCAGTTCATCTTTGGTGTTACAAGGAGTTTTCTTGGTTTCCTAATCAACTGCGCCCCACACATAATAATCAAGGGGGTTTCAGTTTGGGGAGTTAGGTGACCAGATGTAAGGTTGCAAAAATTTTCTGACAGCTCTCACTGGATTCTCTGCTTGCTAGACATAGGGTCTTCTAGCAGCCACCTTCTTGACCTAGGGCAGCACTACCTCCTCAAGGCCCTTGATGTAGGCCCCCCCATGTTGAGTGAGACCCTCGCCAACAAATTCTGGAGTTCTTTTCTTATCAGAATGATGAGAGTTTTCTGAGTTGACATACCTTCATAAGCACCATTAGGCTCATTCAACTTTCTGAATTCTCTGCACTGTTCTCAGATTGACACCCAAACACACTGAAATGTTTGTATTAGAGTTTCCAGTGCTAATGCTAAGCAGTACTGCATGCCATTTCCAAATTTCTGGCAGAGTGAATTGCATGATGGTGCTCTTTTTCTCATAGACATTACTATTCTGTACAGTTGACAAGATCAGAAACAAACAATGCACATACACAAAATTAAAAATATAAAATACTGACAATTTACCCATCGCACCCTGTAAATCTCAATTTTAAAACTGTTTTTTTTGTCTTAAGTAAACTGGTACAAAATGTTTGTTTTTTTTTGTTTTATTTTCCTGATATCATTCACTTATATAAACTGAACATTGTGTTTTAGATTCAGATAATCTTAATATTTCTCAAAAATATATTTGTATAACAATAAATAACTCTTGTGTGTGTCCATTATTGTATTTGCTGCTTACTCCAAACTGAACATTTAATAAACAGCTATTTGATAAATTAATTTCCTTACAATAATTCTGGCATAACTGATATTTTAGTTTGAAGTATTGAGAGATAATGACGAGGAAACACACATTATATTTAATGAAACAAGATATGGAATTTATTTACAAAGTTACACATTTGAAGTTGTCAGTAGCTTATTTCAGGAAAAGGAATCAAATATTTAAAGTTCATAGTTTTGATGAATTGTCAAGAAGAAAAAATGTTCATATTAAATCATCAGACACAAATTAATAAACCAAAATGTTTAAGACAAATTGAGAGAGTTTGTTTTTCACATAAAAGTTATACTGTTGTATTCAACATGAATGAAAAGATATATTTTAAGGTACTTTGGAGTTGAATAGAGTTCTTTGAAATTGCTCTGCTTTCATTAGAGGCTGATAATGTATCCATGTGTAATTTGACACCGGCGTTTTTCAGACACGTGCAACTCTGGCTTTCTGCCTACTGCATCTTTCTGCTTTTTCTTTCTCACTGTCTGCCTTGATTCAACTTTCTCTACCTATTTATATCAAAAAGCGATTTCACATTGGCTCATTACATATTTCTCAGTTTGTAAGCCACTCCCTTTTCCATTGGTCAAAATAAATTTTCACATAGGCTTGTAAATTTGAAAACAGTGGAGAAAAAGAGTTATTTTTATTTCATACTCACCACAAGTTTCATGTCTAGAATAGGATTTTTTTCTTGTGACTTTAATGATATAAGTACATTTCTTTCTGGTTTTAAAAGATGATATTTGCATTAAATGGATTTTAAGAACTTATTTGTGTCCAGTGATTAAAACTTTAGCTGAAAACATACAGTAATTTTTTTCTTGAAGTTTTGTTTTCCTTTCATTTTAAATCCACTTGTATAATCTTTGTTTATAAGAGGAAAAATTGTTTGGTTTTGTGCTTTCTAGTCAGATAATTTCAAATAATTGGTAAAAGTATTTACTGTTAATTCTTTCTGCAGGCTTTCTTTTGGATATATTTCTTGGCTCTTAGTTTTATGGTTTTAATTTAACACTCACAAAAAATTTAAAATTAATCCTATTTAATTTAACTAGGTTTACTGTAATTTCTAAACATCAAACAGTTTTTAGTTTTTATTATAAGCTTAGTTTACTTGTATAATAAAATGTTTTCATGACCCAATACCCCTTAAGCTTCAGAACTAGAGGAAAAAGAATATTGATAGCTTATATCTCTAGTGGAACACTGGGACAGTATTAACCAAACTAGCAAGCCTAAAGTTAACACTCTCTAAAAATTAAAATTATATATTCTATTTAACACTTAAATCAGGGTTTCTCAACTTTTTCTTGTTTTTTATTTACAGAATTTTGTTTATTGAATTACAATACCTTGACATTCTATTAAACTTTTTGTTTATTGAAGTATGCTTCAGTGTATTTATTTAATAATTAGTAAATAAATTAAAACAAATTACTGTACATGTATTCAAGTTTAAAATCCATCAACATTTTCTATTGCTATCAAATTTGTAAAACTCTTCTATAAAAATAATCTATGTAAATGTATATGTACTAATATGAAAAAGAATAAAGATTTTCAATAATATATGCATATTATTTGGAATGCACCTTTTGAGTCAAACAATCTTGAAAAGAAGAGGGATGACATTCTGACATGGTAAAAAGGGTGCATTGGGGAAAAAAAAGACTGAGAACCACTGCTCTAAAAATTAAGATGATATCTTCTATTAACTCTCCTTAAAAATTAGAAGAGTGACTTCTGTTATCTTACAAATTAAGCTTCATTATATTTTATTTATAATTTTGTTCTTCCTTTTATACAATTTATTAAGTGCCTGCCATAGACCAGTTTTCAAAGACAGGCAATTACAAATGTGTCTTTTAAGATCAATTAAATCATTAATAGATGCGTCTCTCCTCAGTGGTTTTGTGCTACATGAAACTAGACTAATATCTACTCCATGCTTGTTTATAGCCTTGGGTAAAAAATTGTATAGTAAATAGTTCTTTGCTAAATTGGATTTAAACCTGGCATCTCAGTTTCAATCCCTTTCCCACCGCTGTAATGAAAGCTTCCCCGTACTTTTTCTATAAATACTTTCATGGTAATTATTCTGATGAATTTTCCTTTATGATATGTAGACTTTATGAATTTAAGCACTGTAATAATTTAGTGGAAAGGTTTCATCATCTTATCAGTTGAAATGGCAAGAGATGTAACCATAAGTTCTATCCTAACAGTTTCTTCTATTGCACTTCTTGCTTGTGGAACTCTCTTCCAGCTTTTAGCTTCTCAGTCAACTCTGATCTTCAAAAATTTTAAGTGCAGTGTCAATTGTTATCTTCTGTCTTCTTAATTCTTGTTCTTTTATTGTTCTTTCTCCTTAATAGTTTTTTTTTTTTTTTTTGCATATTCTCTAACACTCAATAACCCTTTGCATCTTAGTGACCTTATTGCCTTGCTTGGGGTGAAATGATTAAAAAAATTATCTGGTAGAAAGCCACAATTGTAGAGACACTTCTTCACTATACAAACAAATTAATCTATTTATTTACTAATGTAAACTTGTGCCAGAAATAAGTAAACTAATAATATGCCACATTAGCCGAGTAACTGCTGCCTGCTTTATGATAGGTGTTGAGATATACAAAGTAAGTTTAAATAATAAAAAAAAGAAGAAAAACTGAAAAGAAAAGAAATCTCAATCTAGCCTTAATCTTGTTTGAGAAATTCCAAGGTGTACTGATATATTTTTATTTTTGTTATTACAGAGAGCCGGAAATGCGAAATGGCCTCCATGGGGATGGGAAATAAACCCTGCATGGATCTGAAAGGTGATTTCAATATCAATGATCGTTTAATTAATGTCACCCCCACCCAGTCCTTAGGTAAGTTACCCATCAACAACAGACACCTGATACACTATTTTTTTTTTTTTGCGTACGCTCAGCTGGCCATGAGAAAACCTTATCAGTTGCAATAATTACAAAAGAAGGAATGTTGCAAAAAGCTTATCCTGCCAAAGAAACTCACTTTAATCATTAGTGGGTGATATGGCATGAAACTCTTCTAAAAGGAAATTTGAAAAAAAATATACAAGAACTTTTATTTTTGAAACAAAACTTTCAGATTTCACTAGAAACTGTCTATTTCAAATGACAGGTATACAGTCTCATATTTAAAATTCTTGGGATCAATTCAAATGACAGGTATACAGTCTCATATCTAAAATTCTTGGGATCAATTCCTTTGTGGAATTCTGCTACACCTAACTTAGGATAGACAAGTTGATTATTAGTAACAGGGAAACCAGTAGCTCTTTTTAACATTTTCACAATATTCAAAGTTAAAACAAACAAAATATGTATGCATATCTGATTGGTAAGGAGAGACACAACTGTGTTACATGGATTGAGTTAAGGCTATTTAAAAATTATAATTTCTCCAAAGAGTGTAGCAAAGGTTAATTTCAAGATGTTACAATCTAAAATATTTTCTGGCTTTGAATGACCTGCAAAGGGTTGAAATGCCATAAAAATATGAATCAGACAATCAATTTAATCTACTAGGTTAGATATTTCTTAATCTATTTTATAAATATACAAGGAATATGGCCTAGTGAATTAAAGCATTAGTTAAAACATCCCCAGTCCCCTGGCAGTTGTGATTTCAATCCCTGGGCCTGTTAGTTCTGAAAAGTTACATACTCTGAAATGGAGAAGCAACACAAAAGATGAATATGACTAGTGCATACTAAGAGATACAAAATAATTCCTTAGTACGGAAAGTGGAAATTCAACTCAAAATTCCAAGATTACAACATCAACAGTTGAAACGTGAGCATAACAACCAAGATAAGCATGCTGATGTGAATAGCAAATCATATAACAATAACAATTCTTCATCTCAAAAATCCCAACAAAAAATGGGTTACATTACTTGTCACCAAATACAAGATTTAAAATGGGAGACATTATTTTCAGAATGACATTTGTAATTAACTTTAGGAGAATGCTTACCTATAGTTGCTTATTTTACACCAATCCTCAAATTACCATCTTTCAGCCTGTACCATAGAAAAGAAGGCTGCACAATCTACTGGTATATCATTTAGGAAAGAACACAGTGCCATCTGTCAGCATGTACCATAAGAAAGAATGCATTGCCATCTGTTGGCACAGTGACTAGGATTTCATAAATGTACATTTACTTTGCATGCTCTATCTGCTTCATAAATTCACTTAACTCAAGTTCAGTTGAGTTCTGTAGTTAGACATGATTCCAATTGTTTTTGACATCTCTTCATGAGTGTTATGAAAAGTGCACTAGCAGATTAACCTTCCTCTGCTATTCAACTGGTACCATATTTTGACACATTCTCCCTTGAACTGCGAGGACTAACAATCAAAGATTATTTTTAGCAAAAGAATAGTCTTTTACTGGCAAGTAAGAAGCACCAAACTGGAGATACTTAAGTCATCCCCATTTTGGCTTACTGATTTGCAAGTTAACCCCACAGGTCATTACTATTGGTTACTCCAAATTTATGACCAAAGCTGTAAGAGGGAACTTTAACAGTGGAAGGGTTAATAAGCTAGTCTCATTGAACATTAACATTACTGCTGCAGTGAGTTCAGTTTTCACTGGTTACCCCTAAATTATGACCTTGTACCAGACTAATAAAATTTTTAATAGAATTCTTTATGTTGGAGGTTTAGAATTTGATTTAAAAAAAAAAAAAAAAAAAAAAAAAAGAAAATATTTGTAGAACATTGGAGTGGAGATAATAAGGTCAATATTTCAATTTCTTCTGTTAAAAAAAATAAGAGATACTTGTTTTTCCAATTTTTTTTTTATTCAGAGAACTTGTCCAGTTATTGAACTGAAAATCTGGTGATTATAATAGAGGCCTATTTCTGAAATTGTTCCATTTGTAGAGCAACAGACTGCAGCTCATGTGATTATGTTTCTCAGTACTTTTTGTGCCCTATTTGCATGTAAACCATTTATTCCAATATTTTTTTTCATTTAAAATTCTGTTATTATCATTCAATAATATTTTGATGCTATTATCTCCATCATTTGTTTTTATCACAACAACTGGGAATGGTTCTTCTCACTCGGTTTTAACTGCTAAGTTTTTAGGGAAATGGAAACAAAAAGGGCACTTATGCTTAGTATCAGAAAGAGATAGTTGAAATTTCTGGGACACTTAATGAGGAAAGAGGGCTTGGAGAATTTGACACTCACAGGACATAATGAAGTCAAGATGGATAGAAGGAAAACAAAGCTACTATGACAAAACCTATAGCTTGGTATTTATCTCAGCCATCTCAGCTCACTGGCCTACCAAGAAAGAGCACCAAGTCTAAAGAGTGAATTTGGTGAGATAATCTCTACTTTAGAACAATCAATGCCAGTAGAAGAAGAAAGTCTACAGTAGATAGATCATCATCATCATCTTCTGATCCTTAAAAATGTTGAAGAAGCCAACAACATTCCTAATCCAACATGAGAATCATCATTATCATAGCTGTATCAACTTGAAGGCACACTGCAAATCTGTGGTTTCTCATTTTCATTGTAGCTGCTCAGGCTTATTTGTTTCTTCAACACCCACAGAGGTAGCCTGTAATTTATCCTACAATTATGCAGACCTGATCTTAGTTATAAGTTTGCCCCCCACCAGCACTATATACAGTTTTGAATTCAGAGTTGTGCTTCTCCTATACTGGTTTCCAAACATTAGAGAATCCAGTCTGTTCTATTTAACCTTATAGTTGGAGGGAAGAAGAGATGGATTCATGCCTTTCCCAAGATAATGTGTGAAAGTAAATGTAACAATCTCGACCAGAATTCAAAATTAGCATACTGATTTCTCATTCCAAGAAATTATTAAACCAACAGCACATCTACAACATGAGAATAACTATTAAAAAAAGAGAAAAAAAATGAATGATTTCAAGTGATAATTGTTTTAATAGATTAAGAATAGAATAAAACAGCATAAACGTTTTTTTAACTTAATGCAAGATTTAGTTATTACTCCATAAAAATCATCTCTAAGTTAGGACTGGGATTTTTTTTAACATATTGAAGAAAAAAAGAAATTAGCTAGTTAAAATTTCTGGGACACAATGAGGAAAGATGGCTTGGAGAATTTAATACTCACAGAACATACTGAAGGCAGGAGAAGTGAGGAAGGAATCACAAATAACCTACATAACACTTGTGTCATTAGATTGTTGGCCAAAAACAAAAGAGGGATGGTAAAAGGTCAAAAATTACTTACAAAAACAAGAAGTAAAGCTTTCTAATTTTATTCAGTGAAATGAAACAATTTTTCTGCCTATTTACAAACTTAGTGTTTAATTCTTAGTAAGCCATAAACAAAAAAATTCCTGAATGACATTTTACTAATCAACCCATTTTTTTCTTCAAATATTATAATTCAAAAGATAAAATTCATGCTCTTCTATAATTTTTGAGAAAATGAAAAGAATTGACCAGAATGAAAGAAATTAATTTGAAAGCCTGTAAAAACCAGAACCATGATGATTATATTGCAATACTTTTATCTAAAATATCGGCCATGTTATTTACAGCCCGTTCACGAAACTCAATTGCAGTAACTTCAGTGGACCATTTCCGCAACGGGAACAAGCGGCCGATTTCTATCACCTCTTTAAGCAGTACATCATCTTCTAGTAGTGGCCAGTCAGCTAATCATGGTCTCCTCAATTCACTTAACCTGGCTTTTGAAGCACTGAATGCTGGGTCCAACACAGCCACAGACAGCCCTCATTTCAACAGACGTTCTATGAATTCTTCAAACGGTAAGAGAAACTTGATTACTCTTAAACATAGCTATGTTCTTTCAGTCTTGGGATTTGAAGGTGTGTTTCCATTTGGAATGATCCTGTTTTGGGAAAAAGCTTAGTCTTATAAATAATGAAAGACTCCATGATTTTAGCCTTGAATATTGTATTTTTAATTAAGTCACTGAGTTATCTGTCAGGATTTGTCCTTTGTTTCCTTTCTTTCAGTCTACTGAAGACTTAGAATTTTATTTCTGCCCATATTCACAAGGATTTTTATAAAGAAATCTATCATCCTTAAACACCACATTCATCATCATCATTGTCGTCATAATCCATATTACAAGTAACTGTAGCAAACTGAATTAAAAGGAATTCAAAATGTTTGGCTCAAAAAGGAATACACAATATTTTTTTCATAAGCAACTTTTTTTTACTTTTATAAGTAACTCGTAGAATTGGTAGAATTCTTGAATACAGTATAAACTAATGCATTTGGTAAATCTTTTTGTTTAATTTTACATCTTTTTTTTTCTTTGCTTAACCCATACCAACATTAGTAGATAGGATTACATTTAGTCAATTTTGAGTATAGTTGCTTATAAACAACAACAAAATCATATATAAAAATAGGTACAACAGCATAGGAACAGTTAAACACTAGAAACTGTGCAAGGATTTTTGTTCAGCCCTGTAACTAAAAAGTTTGCACATAAAGCAGACATTGTCCAAGATATTAAAAGCACAATATATCCTGGGACTTAGATCCACTTAAGCAAGAAAACCAGATCTGATAGTCTTAAACAAAGAAAATGAAATTAGCCAGATCTTAGATATATGGCTTTACCAGCAGATCACAGAGTAAAGATGAAAAAATACCAAAACCTCACTTGTAAACTGGGTAAATTATGGAATGTAGGGATTAGGGCTGTACCTGGAATATTGCACTTGGAGTTGTGCCAAAAGCTTTAAAATGAGATTTACTAGAATTAGATATACCAAGAAGGATTGGAACTGTCCAGACTATGGTGATACTATGTTCTTCAAGGATACTGAGGAAAGTGCTGGAGATTTGAAGAGACTTGTTATCACTCAAGTCCTCAATGATAACCACCTAATATCTGATAGAAATATGCAAATGCATGAAATGTAAATAATTTATAAATTATCATCATCACTAATTTTCTTATAATTTACTATCTTTAGCTACCAAATGTTTTTGTGATTATTACTTATGCATCTACAGATTCCCACCAAATATCTAATCATCATCACTGAAAACTGAGTGACAATATGTTTTCTCAAATCACCAGCACCCTCCTCAGTATCTTTATAGATCCCAACAATGCTATAGGGTAAATATATCAATCATTTCTTGAATTTCTAAATGATTTAATCTCAATTCTAGTGTTTTTGGCACATTTTCAACTTTTATTTTCCATATCTTTCTCATCATTGAAAACTATTGTCTAATAAAGGTTTTTACTGTTCAGTGAATTATCCATGGGTCAGCTAGACATAAGAATGCCATGAAAGAAACACACAAAATTCCTTAAAAAAAAAAAAAACAACGAAAAAAGTGTTCATCATAATCACATTTAACAGATTATTTTATCATTTATTTGACTGAATACTACCCTTCCTAAGCACCAAATTTAATATTAATGGGGGATAGTTTAATTCAACCTTTTCTTTTCTCTCTGGCAATTAAAAGTTGGAAGAGTGAAATTTGTTTTTATTTCTTTTATTGCTTAAAAAAAACATCATTGAGGTAAAAGACAATTTACCAGCAAAGGTCATAATTTCATTGGAATTTAAAAAAACAAAAACAAAAAAAAAACAGAGAAAAACTTGGGGGTTAAATTCCAGCAAAAGAGAAAAAGTTACAATATTTTACCAAGGAACAATATTAAATAAACTAAAACAATTATTTTATGATTTTTTTTAAATCTTTAAAAATGATAACAATTAATTTTGTTTATTATTGGTGTTAGGTGACATTCATCTTAATTTTCTATTGCCTTCTTCCTGAAGGCAATAGAAAATTAAGATGAATGTCAGGTAGTTGATTCTCTGATCTTCTTCAGATGAAAATGTTTTATGTCCAAAACAGAGCTTGAGCCTTTAATATAAAAAGCTAAGGAATAAACTGTTTTAAATGTTTTGTTGAGAATGAATGAATGAATAAATAAATAATAGTCAAAATAAATTTCAGAATGAATCAAGCCATTCTGAAGATCTCCAAAATCATTTGTGAAACTTTGATGTAATTTGATAATCAATCAAAATGGACTTTACTACACATGCCTAAACAGAATCTCACCAATGGTGTTATTCAATTAGCAGTGAGATGCCATTGGCTGAGCTTGTGTGCTTTGTGACTTGCATTCACAAATGACCAAATAAATACTTGTTAATAATTAGATCAGTAAAGTCTTGTGCAGGTTATTTTGGCAAAACATTTGCATTACCAACATCTATCTGCCAGATTTGGTTTCCTGCAAATTCTGGCTATCACTGTTGAAATGGTGGCCATTTCTCACCATTAATGATATTAAGGAAAATACAATGAAACAGCAGATGGTGATCTCAAAAGATGACTTGAAAAGTAAAAAGAATGCTGAGATATAAGGATATGAGATCTCAAGGGGATTACTATGAGGACTTGAGTGTTATTGCTCTAGGCTGGCTATATTTTCATGAAAATACAGCCTACCTAACATCAGAGTGTCTTTTTTTAAACAAGCAATATGGTTTTTGTTTCTCTAGATCAACTACTGGTGTATTCATAGTTATTGCTGAAGGAGTCTATCAAGCTTTAGACAAGAATAATGAAGCTCAGTCTTTGGATATCTCAAACACATTTGACAGATTTTGGCATGCTGGTTTTCTTCACAAGTTGAAAGATTATAGTATTTCTAGACAAATTTTTTGATTTGATTCAATCTTTCTTATCTAATCATGAAATGAAACTTACATGTAACCATAAGTCCTATGCTCACAGTTTCTTCTCTCACATTTCTTACTTACCAGTCAACTTTGATGTTCAAAAATTTAAATGCAATGTCTATCATTATCTTCTGTCTTCTTAATTTCTATTCTTTTATTGTTTTTTCTCCTTAATAATGTTTTGTTTTTCTCATATTCTTTCACATTCAGTAACCCCATTGCATGTTAGTGGTTTTATTGCCTTGCTGGGGTGAAATGATTAAAAACTCATTGTAATAGCCAAATATACTTGCATTATGAAGAGAATCCAATTACAAAAGCACTTGTCAAAAAGATTCCCTTGTAAAAATATGTCTCATAGGCTTATAAATTGAGTATATCTCAGTGAATGAGGGCTACAATTTTTCTTCTCTTTACTTATGTTGTAATTTTCTTTCTTTCTTCAGAGAGTGGTATTTGTACAGATATCTTTCTTGAACCTGACGTTCCTGTGTCTAACAGAGGAATCCCAGCAGGCAGCAATTCTGCAGCCACTTTGCCAGCCAACATGCGGTTGCTGCCAACTAGTGCCCGAAGTGGAGCTGTTGCCGATTCCAATGAGAAAAAAGAGGAACCAAAGGACAAATCTACAGTCCCTGACACACCTTCAGACATGGAAACCCCAGTATCTAGTGCTACATGTTTTACCCCACTTACAACCACTCCAAAACAAGCCGATCCAGGGAAACTTTGGCTTGACTTGTCCAAAATTCGTACCCCACCAGAGTTGAAAGTTAGGGTTCTAGGACCAAGTCAACCAAAAATATCCAGTATAAATGCTGAGGAAAGTGAACTATAGCCAGTTGCTGGGACTTGGAAATAAATTAATACATGAAGGTTTATTGTTAACCAAAGTGTAAAGCACTTAATCCTCTGGCTTTGAATTGAGAATAGTTCAGCCTGATTAATCTGGAGAAAATGAGGATCAGCATAGATTCTTTTTTTTCTTTTTTTTTTTTTTTTTGAGCCTTAGGTTAACTGATATTGTTCTTGTACCAGGAAATCTAAGCTCAGATTTTGTGGCCTCATATTGGCTTACTACATGGTTCATATGAATGTCTTTGCAGATGAAAGACTTGTGAAGTACAGATCTGATTGTTGATTATTTTTTCTTTTTGGAATAAGTCTGATCTTGATCTGCAGCCATTAAAAAATATCCAGTAAGTCTGTTCACTCTCAGTTCAAATATTGGATCAATGCCTCTTTGACCCCCACAACCTCCCCAAAAAGGACCCTCTCTAAAATTCTCTTCTCTCCCCTGAAGCATCATGAGAATCAATATATTAAAATATATTGTTTTGTAGAATCTGTGTCTAAACAGATTGCCTAATTAAATTAACTTGTTGTTATTAACTTATAGTTCTTGATATCATATTATTGTTTATCTGTCTGTCAATTGCATAAGTTTTTTATTTAAATATTATTAATATACTGTTTACCATTTATGTTGAATGTGCTACATTGTAAATTGTCTCCCTCAATATAAAAAAAAACGAAATGAAAGTTTAAACAAAAACTCTCTTATAAAAAAAAAAAAGAAAATTCTCTTGACTCCTTCATCACATTAAATTTTGGGGGGTGGGGAGGGGTGAAAGATGAGGTGTCAAAGTAAGTAGACTACCATCCCCATCAATAACTTTATTGGTATTTCTCTATCTGCAATTCCTCCCTTTGATTATAATGCGATATTGTTAGAAATACTTAAGGTCTTTTAGCAGCTTCTCTAGGCTGCCTAAAAAGACACCAATAATTTTTCATCATACTCTGCCTGGAGAGACATATGAGGAAAAAGACACAGTAAACTTTTTTTAAAGAGAAATGAAGTGATAAGTTTAAAAACAAAAAATAAACTTATGCCATGTTACCCAAAGATATAAAAAAAAAAAAAATTAAGAAAACATGTCGCTTAAAAAGAGATATATAACAAGCACATATGTAGACTGAAAATGACTGGAGAGCGTACAAATCAAAACATTATGCTAAAAAGAACAACAAAGATGAAAATGTTAGTATGAAATAAATCATTACTCACATGTCTGAAATATGCCTGGCAAGCTATTTAAGTCTTGATTTTTTTTTTCTCAACCTACCCACTGTTATTCCAGACTGCCCCATTTATTTCCTTGTTTTTTTTGTTTTTTTTTTTTTTTTCTAACCTGACTGTTTTTCTCAACTTCCTTTCCTTCCTTTTTTGTTCTGAAAATAAATTAATTTTCACTAATTTTCCAACCTACCCTTCTATTCAAAACTTAAGAGTAAGTCTCTCACCCCATGTTAGCCATTTTCTGATACTAGAGGGAAGCAAATTTTTTAAAAAAATAAAGACTTGCAGACATTTTTATCATTATTATTTCCTTTTGGCTTTAAATTAAACACAGACCCGTTCACACATTACGCTCACTTGAGTGTAATATATTAAACTATATCCAAAACTTAAAAAATATTGACTTAAATATACACATTTTATATGATTCCATAAGTCAGATGACTTTTTCTTTTAATAATTTTTGGCCTTAAAGTAATTTCACTTTATAGTTTAATAGATCACTATTAGAGATTCAGTCAATTCTGTTTAAATAATAAATTCATTGTTTATTCATAAATTGTATTACTGGAAACAAATCAGTCAGGACCTCTTCTGTCTGTTTTTTTTTCTTTTCTTTTTTTTTTTTTATAAGATTTTAACTTTTTACAAAAAATTAAAGCAATAAATTATTATACCTTACCATAAATATATATATATACATACACAAACAGAGATTGAGGTATGTACTAATATTTATGTGTATGTCATATATAACTATGGACATAGAAATCGACACTGTATAGTGACTGGCAATTTCATGCCTTAAGCACTCATCAACTCACACATATACATTACATACACACACAAATATGCATACATTCTTATACATGTTTGATGTATACCCCATCTATGTGAACTGACAGTTTTAGCTTTTAATATTTGTAAAATCAAAATTTGAATACTACATCTGGTAGATATAGATATATACATATACACACACAGGCAAACATGTTCATTAGAGGCTCTTAATTTAGTGGGTTGTAAAGGTACCTTTAAGAAGATCCTTGTAATACCTTTTCATTGTCTCTCATGGAAAGTCCAAACAGCTATTTATGAATACCTAATCTGATGTTATTTTACTAAAACACTTTTCTGTTAATATGGTTAGCAGAGATTCTGAGCTAAAATGTTATCTAAGCCTTGAAGGATGTTTAAATGTGTTCTACCCACTGAGCTCAATTGACTCATGTACTTGTAAAATCCATATTCTAAATAATTATAAATAATCATATAACCGTTGTCATGTAAATATACATGTATAGACACATTATAAATAATAAATACAATTGGATTGAGCCTGGAATAAATACTAGGCCAGTAATTCTGAACATTTTTTCAAGATTCCCTTACCTCATTTATTAAGGAATCAATAGATGTCTGTGGTTTAACCTCCATATGTAGAGAGCATAATCTAAAAAAATTGAAAACTTTTAAGATCAGAGATCAAGGGGAGATAATTTATTTTATTTTTCCTTTTTAAAGTTACAATTTTTTTTTCTTTTATTACTGTGAATGGAGATTTAAAAAAAATAAATCAGTGTTAAAATTTAAAGTTACTGAACTTTCTTTTTAGTATTGAAGACTTTTCCTGTCTGAATACAATTTTAAAATCTCAATCACATTATTTTAATTTAGTTTTTGTTATTTAAAATCTAAGTATAATAGATTTAGATATTAAATAAATAAAAACACCAATAAAACCACAGACATCAGGGAATGACTCTTCTCGGTGCAATGCATAGTTATTATATTTAACTCTTGTGCATAAAATGGAAGACACTGAAATCTCATAATTTACTGTTTTTGCCATTTCTAGTTTCTCTTTGAAGTATTAAACTATTTTGTCTTCCAATAAGTTTTATTTGTATTCTCAGTGCAATTTATTAAACCAAAGCCTTGCTTTAATATTTTCAATTAAGATAATTATATTACTGTCATACTACTGATGATCAGCTTAAAAAGATGGTTGAAATGTCAAGGATAGAAATGAATAGAAACTTTAAATGATATTAAAGAGAAAAAAATTTTCATAAGGTTTGACAATTTTCTTAAAGATATTTGAATAATAAAAAACATAAACGTCAAATATCAGATTTTCATAAGTTGTATTTCTTTTCATTCTTGTATAAGCTAAGCAGAATAGTCCATTTTATTTTGACATATTTCTTAAAGGATTTGAACTGAGCACCCACCACTCTTATTAGAAATTTCATTAAGATCAAGTAAAACTAATCAATCTTCTTTCTAACTTTTCATTTAAACTGTAATTTTTTAATTCTTAAGTAATTTCTCATTTGTTTTATTCTTTCTTCCCAAGAAAAAGCAATTTGAAAAAAAGGGAGGAGACTATAGATTCAGAAATTTTTTAACTACAGATTCAAAGAGATTTGTGGTTGTCAAAGTCATTCCATTTGACTTATAATCAGCATTACTCTATTGTACAAATATCTAAATAAATATATTTACAGTTGAATATATTACTTCATCAGTCAAAATAATATAGAAGCTGTTATTCAATAGTTTTCCTGTGGATGATATGATTAAATATATAAATGTGTAGATACATTTATCTGATAATTTTCACTAAGAATTTTTTTAAATAGACATTTTTATTGAAACATTGAAATATTGACACTTTCAATACAATTTTTTTTTTTTTTTTGCAAACATGTATAAACCCAAAATAAAAAAGAATAGCTATTTCACCAGAAGCTAAATAGCATCAGTAAAACGTAGGTATTTACTCACAACAGTGTGTGGAGGATTAAATAAAGATAAAGTGCAAATTTCCAAAAGGGGCAATAAAATTCACACAATTTGCCATTTAACAAGTAGAGAAAATGTTAATATTTTTCGACACTGTGTTTATCACACATTTGATTACATAAAATGTTTTTCTGGATTACTTTCATTATATAAAATTTGGATAAGAATGCAAGGGAATGGTAAATATATAAGATGATTCAGACAACTTTAGAAGTTTTACAAATTTATATATATATATATATATATATATATATATAGAATCTTGTTTACAGAGAAATAAACCTGTTAGGAAAGATTTTTGCACTACATCCACTGAGCTCAGTCCAATTGTATACTTGTAAACTCTGCTTATTTAATGGTATGTTGAAAACTGAATGCTTGAATGTATTAGTCAATCAATGGATGACTTTATATCAACCAGTAAATGGTAAAACACAAGATACATTGGCTACTGTTTAGGTGGAGTTTCAAGAATAACTCTGGGTTATTTCTCTGCTCCATTTGCTGTTATCAGCAGTTTTAATATCACAAATGCAAACGTATACAGACTTACAGACAGGCATAGAGACAGGCACCCCCCCACACAGTAGAATCTATTATCTGCCTTTGCTATGACTGAAGTTTGAATACTTCAGTGTTTGATATAATAAATCCTTTCTTAAAATCTATTAATTCAGTTTTCTTGATTTATGTCTACATATTTTTAATCAAATTCATTTCACATAAATGTGTTTCTTTTTTTATGTTGTTTCTTTATTGAAACCAAAACTCAGATATCAAATATTTCATTTTTGTTTTTATATATATATTATCTATATATATATAAATTTGCATCGCTTTTTTAATTTATTGTCTTTTGTGAATATTATTTTCTTTTGATTAAAAGAAAGAAAAGAAATAAAAAAATTACTATTAAAAATTTATCACTTATTTAAAGATGTGTGTTT